CACACCCCCGAGCGCTCCGCAGCGCGCTGTTGTGCTTTCCAGCGCTGGGTCCCGGATGAGAGCCCCGACCCCGGGGCGGGTTCTTCATTCGTTCTGGTTTCCAGGGGGAGAAGGGTGGCCTGCGGGAAATACTTCTGTCCACATCCGCTGCAGTATGGAGCTTCGGGCTCCCTCTCCCAGAAGCCCGAGGCGCACTGAACATGGATCTGGCTGCCCCCTAGCGTCGGGCCGGGCGAAAGGGGGGGGGGGATTGGGAAAGGGGGGGGTACGAAGTCTGCTGCGTGCAGCTGTTGTTTCGGCCCCGCCGCCGGGCCCCTTCCCCGGTACATGGGCGCCCCCCGGCGCCGGGAGGCGCCGGGGAGATCCGCTACGCGAGCTGCTTCTCAAACCCCCACCCCCTTTGCTATCCCCCCCTTTTTCGCCCGGCCCGATGCATGGCGGGTCGTTGTCGGACAGGCCATAGGGGCCCAGCGAGGGTCCACTGGGGGGCTCGAGCACGGTCGAAAGCTTCCGGCCGTGTCGGAGCAGCATGCGCACGGTCAGAAGTAGAAACGTCCGTCAGAGCCCCGAATCATCAGGGGTAACTCGGGTCAGGGCTAACTCGGGTTCGTTGTTCGGGATTCCGAACCCGAGTTATCCCGGACCCGAGTTACCCCGGATATTTCGGCCGTCCAGGGCCCCGAATCATCAGGGGTAGCTCGGGTCAGGGATACCTCGGGTTCCTTTTTCGGGAATCCAAACCCGAGTTACCCCGGACCCGAGTTACCCCGGATAACTCGGGCGTCCAGGGCCCCGAATCATCAGGGGTAACTCGGGTCAGGGATAACTCGGGTTCCTTTTTTCGGGAATCCAAACCCGAGTTACCCCGGACCCGAGTTACCCCGGATAACTCGGGCGCCCAACTCAGGAGAGTCCCGCAAGGGTCGAAACATCAGCCCGGCAGTGGCAAGCACTTGCACATCATAGCTTTTTCCTCGTCTGGCTCGATCGGCTTGCTTTGATCAGGAGGCCGAGGCTGCCGGGGCAGAACATTGTCCCATCCTTTCCGTCGCTATACTGCGAAGGCCTTACGGCCGGTGCCGCTGACCTTGAAGGGGGACGACGACGACAACGGTCTTGGGGTCTCTTCGGAAGGCTCTAGGAGGCATCTGTGGATCAATTTTTGGGCCTCTTGGAAGCCTCTTGGGGGCCTCGTGGGAGCCTCTTGGGGGCCTCTTCGGGCTCCCTGGGGACTTCTTCAGGGCTCCCTGGAGCCTCTTTGGGCCTCTTGGGAACTCAGGTCCCCCGTCTGGGCACGCTCTTGGCGCCGTCTTGGGGGGCATCCAAGGCCGTCTTGGAGGCGTTCTGGGTTGTCTCTTGGGGTCCTCCTCTTGGGCTTTTCTGGGGGCCCTCTTAGAGGCCTATTTTTGGGCCGCCTTGGGGCGCTCTTGGGGGCCTCGCGGTCCGTGAGGACGCCCGGATGAGCATCGATCCATTTTGCCTCTTGGGCCCTTGTCGGGAGTGCTCCTCTTGAAGGCTTCTCAGGGCGTGGGCCTCGTGGAGGGCAGCGTGGAGGGCTCCTTCTGCGCGTCTTGGCCCGGTCGCTCGGCGTTAGAGGGTGCCCTCTCTCGGACCGCCTCGGGGGGGGCCTTTTTCGGGGCGCTCGCGGCCTGTCTTGGAATTGGTCGGAGGCCCCAGGAATACCCCCCCCCCCCGCCTGCCCCCCCCCCCTGTCCCCCCCGCGACCCCCCCCCCCCGCCGTGGACCCCCCCCCAAGACCCCCCCCCCGTCTCCGACGGGGAGGGGATCAGAGGGCAGGGGCTTCCTTTCGACTCGATTGCGACCCTGCTCGATTTCTCTGTCGCTGACAGGCTTGAGGAGAAAGGTGCAGGGAGAAGGGGACGACGGCCCTCGAACATTTTCGAGAACAGGCGAACGCGTTCAGCAACGGATGCTCTGTCAAAACGCCTTCCGTCTTATTAAATAGCCAACGAACACAACAAACAACGCTCACGCACGCGCACGCGCACGCGCACGCACGCGCACGCGGACGCGCACACGCACACGCACACGCACACGCACACTCACACACACACACACTCTCACACTCACACTCACACTCACACTCACACTCACACTCACTCTCACTCTCACACTCACACTCACACTCACACTCACACACGCACATTCACACATACACACGCACACACAGAAAGCACACACACACACGCAAGAGTGAAGCGCTCGAGCTCCCCGCCGTGTGCTCTCTCTCGCTCTCTCTCTCTCTCTCTCTCTCTCCTGCGACGCGAGCACGCCTGCTCCCCGCCCGCCTCGCAGCCCCGCGGCGCCCCCCCGCGCGCCGGAGCGGCACGCGGCGGGGTCCCCCGCCGTTCTGCCGCGCGCGCGAGCAGCGCACGCGTTTGCCCACGGAGCCGACGCACGGGCGATCGTCCTGTTACGCAGTGTCTGGCCGATCGGCGCGGGCCCTCGCACCCATCCCTCCTCCTCCTCCTCCTCCTCCTCCTCCTCCCTCCTCCTCCTTCCTTCTCCTCCCTCCTCCTCCTCTTCCTCCTCCTCCTCCTCCTCCTCCTCCTCCTCCTCCTCCTCCTCCTCCTCCTCCTCCTAAACCCCTTCCGCCCAATGCCGACACGCCGAATAAGAAAACGTTGACCAGGAAAAATCGCGACTGAGGTTTTCCCCATGTTTGGCCTCTGCGGGCCGTCGCCGGGCCCTGGGGCCCTCGGTCGGGGCTGAAGAGACGGGGTTCAAAGCAAACGGGGGTCAGTCAGAGCGCCGGGTCCTGCAGGATCCTGCAGAGCCAGGGCGGCATCGACCTGGGCTTTGGTGCAGGATCCCGCAGGATCCGGGCCCGTAGGATCCTGCAGGAGCTTGCAGGACCTTGCATGGCCTGACTGATCCGGGCCTGGATTGACCCGGGTCAGTAGATCCCCCACACGGGAAGAGTCTCTAGGCTTCCCAGATGGGGTCGAAGGATCTCGACGCATCGCCGACGCATCGCCGAAGCATCGGCGATGCTGTTCGATGCGGGGTCCGGTTTGCTTCACGTCGACGTCGCCGGTGCATCGCCGGTGCATCGCCGATGCATCGCCGATGTCGCGGCGATGCGGCGCGATCCTCCGACCCCATCTACTCGGACCCCACCTAGGAGGCCTCTGGAGATTCTGGTCCCCGGGAGGGGGTCGAGATTTTGGGGCCCTGCTCTGAACGATTCTGAAGGCATCGGATCTGTGGGTGGCCGGCATCGGATCTGTGGGTGGCCGGCCAGCCGCTCGGAGGCCGTGGCGCCCAATGGCAGCGAGCGCCGCGAAGCTGCGGCTGGGGGGCGAGGCGCGCACTCGCCAGACCCCTCTTCGCGTCGTATCGGGGGAGCGTAAGACCCGGGTTTGCCAGGACTCGGGTTCGCCATCATTTTTTGACGACCGCGCCTCGGATTTTGACGAGGAGGAGTTTCGTGGGATGTCTGCAGCGGGAGGCCTCGTCAAAACGCAGGCTCGGCCTCGTTATTTTTTTGACGACCTCGTCGGGCATTTCCGAGTCCCCTGTAACCAGGTCTTACGTCCCCCTGATCGTAGAGCCCTGTCGACGAGAGGTTTCTGATCCAACGTACGTTTTCGAACACAGTCGGGCTTTTCGGGAGTTTTCGAGGGCTGGGGTGGTTTCCATCAGCTGCTCCACGTCGAGAGCTTTCTGGCGGTGCCCTGGTCGCCCCGAGGGACCGCTGGAGGCACGAGCCATGGCCCGAGAGCCGATCCCCATCGCTCAGAGCGTGAATTACCTCCCCCGCTTTCGCTTCCAGGCAAAACCAAGTCATACCACGCGCCTCCTCGTCAAGCGGCCTGACTAGTACAGGCTGCAGTTTGGCATCGTTTGGTATCTCTTGGAAGCGAGGGTGGTCAAAAGCGAGGTAGGTTTGTTTTCCCCCTAGATCCAACGTACGTTTTCGAACACAGTCGGGCTTTTCGGGAGTTTTCGAGGGCTGGGGTGGTTTCCGTCAGCTGCTCCACGTCGAGAGCTTTCTGGCGGTGCCCTGGTCGCCCCGAGGGGCCGCTGGAGGCACGGGCCATGGCCCGAAAGCCAATGCCCATCGCGTCGTGGCAATGAATCGACGGAAGGGTTTTGATCATGTTCTTCAGGAGGGAAAAAAACACAGACACAATTAATCCTCGATTCCGAGGAAAATATTGGAAAATATGGGAATTGGGGGGGAAGACAAAAACGCAGAAAATATGGGAAAATATGGGGATTATGTTTATTTGTGTGTATTTATTTGTGTGTCCCAATTTCCCTTTAGTTCTGCCCTTGCAGCCCTCGCCGGGCCTCGAGACCGTCAACGGATTGCTCGGGGTGAAGAGCCTCCGGCCCCGAGGAAGGGGTTGAGATGTTTTTCAGGAGGGGAAAAAACACACAGACACAATTATTCGTCGATCCCTAGGAAAATACGGGAAAATATGGGAAGTGGTGGGGAGAACAAAAACCTAGAAAATATAGGAAAATATGGGGAATATGTTTATTTGTGTGTATTTATTTGTGTGTCCGAGTTTCCCTTTAGTTTTGGGGGTCCACCATGGAAAAACCAAGACGTCGGGGGTCTGAGTCTCTCGCCATGAAGCTTGTGGGGTCGTGAGAAGAGACGGGGAAGATGGGGAGAAGGAGGAGGAGGAGCAGGAGGAGAAACTAGGCATAGAAGTGTACCCCTTCCCTCCTGGAGAGTGTCCACACAGCTCCATTGCACCCGCTGCGGCTTGTCTCTGCGGTTCGTCCGCGTGAGCTGGAATTGCGTCTCGGATGGGGCATACACAGCCGAATCCGATCGTATTTTTCGGTCGCCCGTGGATAATTGCCCTGGGCGATTGCCGCTCAGGCATTCCGATTGCGGTTTTGATTCCTCTCTCTGCTCGTCATCCATTATTTTCCCCCTTGCAGCGAAGCGCGCAGCAGTGCGAACGCTGTGTCGGACGATGTTGCAGACAGGTTTGCGCGCAGCATGCGCATCGCGATCCATGGCCGACGAGGTCACACGGCGTGCTTTTGACCACATGCAGAGAATATTTCTGCGCACTCGTAGCTTGAGAGTGAGTTGTGTAGGTCGCCGCGGCGATCTCGGCCGCCGAACATCGGGGCAAGGTTGTTGCCATGGAGTGGCACGCGGCATGCTCCTTCCCAGCCCGCGTTCTGTGAAGTAGACGTGTCTCATGAGTACCTTTGTTAGCCAGTGCGGACCCCTAATACTTGTTGGTTGTATCCCATGCGGTGCAATCAAGATGGTGCAACCAATGTGGCAAACCATGATGAAATCAATGTGGCGCAAAGCAAATGAACGCAACGCAATGCAAACCATTGCAAGGCAATGCACGGTTGTGCAAAGCATTGTAAAGCAATGCAGTGCAATGCAACGTAATGCAAAGCGATGCAAAGTAATGCGAAGTACTGAACATAATGCAAAGCAATGCAACTCAATGCCACAAAAGGAATGAGACGCAGAGCCCAGCAATGCCAACCAATGCATATCAATTCAAAGCAATGCAAGACAATGCAAATCAATGCAATGCAAATACATGCAATGCCAAGCAGTGCCAAGAGGTGTAATGCGATCCCAGAGCAATGCACAGTCATGCAAAGCAAATTGAAGCAGTGCGACGCAATGCAACGCAATGCAAAACAATGCAACGCAATGCAAAGTAATGCATTGCCCAGCAGCACCAGGCAGTGCAGAGCCATGCAACAAAAACACATCGGCTGTGGTATGGCGTGCTGTGCTCGGCTACGCTTTTCTGTGCTTCGCTTTCCTGTGCGAGTGGACGAGTGCACGTGGACGGGTCTACGTGGGCACCACGGGCAGCGGCGACGGGCGGCGACGAGGTGGCCAGACCGCCACTCGGGCGGCGACGGACGGCGGCGACGGGCGGCGACGAGCCGGCCGGACTGGCCCTCGGGCTCAGTTCACGGCGGCGACGGGCGGCGACGAGCCGAGTGGACCGGCGCTCGGGCTCAGTTGTCTTAAAATGGAAGTAAGAGCCGCAAAGGGCAAGTTCTTGCCTGGGAGGTATCTCGGCAGAGAGTTGGCAATGCATGTCCAGCTTCTGGGCAATTCGGTTATTGGGTAACGGGCCGATTGTCACGCACTCGTCTCCTTGCCTTTCCTCGGGCAGGCCCAGGACGATCACGTATCTTTCTGGAGCTTTTCCGAACGCTCTCAGGACGCATTGTTACGTGGGCATCGCGCAGTGCGCAGAGACGCCAGCTCCCAGAGATTCCCTAGTTCTCCCAGCCCAGGCTAGCAGTCCTCTTGACGCTCGCCTTTCTTCACATACCCGCTGCTCGCGATCACCGTCGCAGCTCGAAGGATTCCATTTCCCCCCCCTAGAGCTGCCGGAGGAAGGAGAAGCGACGCCACCAGCGGGCCACCTCCAGCGAGGAGGTCCACGTTGCCTCGCTGGGCTGGAAATCTAACGCGGGACGCCGCAGCACATGTGAACCACACCACCAGGATGAGGGGCCTTGGCTCCTCGCGCTCGCTGAGGTGCGACGACGACCACGGTGTCGACACAGCCACGCCGACGCCGTCGTCGTCGCCTGCCGCGAGCGATGTCGTCGATGTCGACGACGCCTTCGACGGCGACGTCGTCTGAGGCAGCGGTGGCATCCTCTGTCCGGAGGCCACGTTCAGTGTGCCCGATGGCCCGATCGCCCATTCATCCCCGACAGGGGCCCGATGGCCCACCCGGCCCAGGACCGTGCGGCTTGGCCTCCCGGGGGCCCATCGCTGATCCATCGGCGACGCTCGGTGTGTCCCTTGTCCCCCTCCCCCCCCGAACCAGTCCCCGCATGTCCCTCCGCGCAGCCGCCGCTGGGGCCTCCACGCCCTTCCTGCGGGCGGAAGCGATCCTATCTGCCTCCGCAGACGGCTCGAGCATCTGCGGGAGGCGAGCGGCCGCCGCCCGGAGCGCACTGGACATCCTCCAGAACTCGGACGCGCGCCGCGGGGCTGCAAGCACAGCGCAGACCTCGCGCGCCGGCCGAGATTGGCCAGCCTCGCGCGGCCCGCGGGGTGGTCGTCGAAGCCCTGCGGTGCACCTGGGCTGGCTCTGAGAGCAGCTCGCTGAGCTGCGGACCGTGTCCGTATCCGTATCCGTACCCGCACCGCGGACGAAAGCATATACGGTGGAGAACCATGCCGAGGAACATCCTGCTTGCCTCAAGGGTGCCGTTGATTTCTTGGGTTGCGATGGTTTTTCTATGGGAAGCGTGGCGTTCCCACACAGCAGAAATCCATGGAAATCCTGGTTTCTCGCTGAGCCGCGGCCCGTGTCCGTATCCGTATTCGTGACCGCAGGAAGTTACCAAGACCCCCTCCCCCCCTTCTCTTGCAAAGGAATAGAGCTTCCCGCGCCGGGAAGCGTTGTCCCGGCACCAGCCGTCAGCAGGAGGTGGATGTCAGGTCCTTGCGTTCTTGCCGCCAGTCCTTTCGCAGATGTCGGTTGCCAGGGGTGGGGAGGTGGTTAACTAACACGTGTTTTTTGCTGTTGCTTGGCGCGGTCTTAAAGTTTCCGTCGGCAAACAAATGCCCCCTGGAGTTCAGTCATGTCGGCGCGGTGCTACTAATATCCTTGGGGGGTTCTGAATACCTTCTTGTTGTGACCCGTATCTCAGAGCGTGAATTACCTACCCCGCTTTTGCTTCCAGGCAAAACCAAGCCATACCACGCGCCTCCTCGTCAAGCGGCCTGACCAGTACGGGCCGTAGTTTGGCATCGTTTGGTATCTCTTGGAAGCGAGGGTGGTCAAAAGCGAGGTAGGTTTGTTTTCCCCCTAGTATCGCGAACGACAGCATTAGGGGAGCAAGAAGTGGCATGAACATAAACAACTCGGAGGTCCGCGCGGATGTCTCGGATCGGCGCCGGGGGGCCCCCGGCGGCGCCGCTCCGAGCGGGCCTTCGCACCCTTCCCCCCCACCCCCACCCTCTGCATGGAGTAGATCTTTCAGGAGGGGAAGAAACACACAGACACAAGAATTCGTCGTTTCCCAGAAAATATGCGAAAATATGGGAAGTGGGGGAGAAGACAGAAACCCAGGAAATATGGGGAAATATGGGGAATCCTTTTATTTGTGTGTATTTATTTGTGTGTCCTAGGGCCCCTTCAATCTTGGCTGTTTTGGGCGCCTGCTTCAGGCAGTTGGGGCCTCCCGCACAGGACGCATTGTCGCAAACAGTCGTACTGGGCAGAGGTCCAGAGCCAGAGGACCCCCCCCTCCGCCCAATATCGAAATGCCGAATAAGGAAACGTTCACTTAGGTCGATCCCTGATCTCGCAGTTCTCGGCCTCCGTCCAGACTCACTCCGTCCGGGCTGAGCCTGTCCTGATCTCTGCCGGTGGTTCATTTTGCGTTGCAGAAACGAATCCAGAACGAAGACGGCACGAAACGAAGACAAAGCGGAAACGAAAGCTGCACGAAACGAAGACAAAACGACGGGAAACAACAACAAAACGAAAACAAAAACACTGTTTAGGCCGATCTCTGATCTCGGCTGCTCCCCGCAGGTGCGCCTCTTCGCCCGCGTCGCCACTCTGGACGGGCTCCTGGCCGAGGCCTCCGCGCGCTTCGGCGTCCCGCTGCGGCCGCGTCTGACCTACCGCGACACCGAGGGCGACGAGCTCACGGTGACTGCGGGCCGGACCGAATTCTCAAGAGATTTTGGGCCTTTGGCGGGTTGACCCGTTCATCTCACGAGTTCACAGGAGGAACAGATACCGACATCGCTACCTTTCAGTCGTTTTCCTTTTTTGGGGTTTGGGTGGGGGGCCCTCGTCGCCACCGCTGGATTCTTCTCGAAGTCCTGGTCAGAACGAACCCCGTGAGATGTCCGGGGAGCAGCGGTATCGTGACCTTTTGGTGTCCCCACGAGCGGCGAACATCTTTATCCGTTTCCGCGCTCTCGCGGTCCGGATTCCGGGGCGCGATCCCGCGGAGATGCGGTCGTACGGAGGCGTTCCGCGCGGGGCCTCCGCGAACAAAAAAATGCCCCCGTGTCCGCGGGGTCGCGGCTCTGGGGCCCAGCCCGCGAGGCCGCGGATACGGATATATGTCAGGAGGAAAAGAAACACACAGACAAAATTAATCTTCGATTTCCCGGAACATATGGGAAAATATGGGAAGTGGGCTGGAAGACAAAAACCCAGAAAATATGGGAAAATATGGGAAACAATTTTATTTGTGTGTATTTATTTGTGTGTCCTGGGGCCCCTTCATATATGTTTGCGCACACGATCATCTCGGCGGAGCCCACAAGGCCTCCTCTCTTTCGGGCTGTGGCGCGAGGGGGGGCGGCCTTCTGTCTAAGGCGACGGACAGGGGGCTTCTTGGAGGGAAGAGGCCTTCTGGGAACCGCCTTGGTGCTCCCCAGTCAGCTTCTGAGCCACGGGGAGGGCTCCTCAGCCCCCCTCGCGCCACAGCCCACTGGTGCGTGTCGCAAAGAGTTGGCTCGGGCCCCTGGCGCATTGAGGTGTTCTCTCCGGGAGGAGGGAGGGAGCGTCGGTGCCACGCCGCCCTCGGGAGCCCTTCGGCGTGCTGCTCGTGCTGCTCCTGTCGGGGAAGGCCGGGCTCTCCTGCAAGAGGAAAACAAACTTTCAGTGGGCTCCTCTCACGGCGGCGTGCCAGTCGTACCCTCTCTTTGCTACCCACGCTCTCGCGGAGGGGAGGGATCACTCACCTGCGCGCCTTCCATGCCTTCGGGCGGGGGGGGGTCCCGACGACGCCTCGGCCTGCCGGATGGGGGCGTGCTCCGGGGAGGGGCCCGCTGAGCAGCGGAGCAGTTCTCTCGGTGTGTCCTTGCTGCCCTGGGGGACTTCGGCCGAGGTCTGTTTAGGGGAACAAGAAGTGGCATAACCATAACAACTCGGACGTCCGCGCGGATTTCTCGGATCGGCGCTGGGGCCCCCCGGCGGCGCCTCCGGCGCCGCCCCTGGCGCGTTCCGCGCGCCAGGAAAGGGGTCCAGCGCCGATCGGAGAAATCCGCGTGGACCTCCGAGTTTTTATGTCTATGTCATTTTTTGTTCCCCTACTGTTCCATCTCAGTGCCTGCGCTCGTTCTGGCGTCCCGGGGTCGGTTTCGGGCGATGGGGCGGTGCAATGTTGGCCCAGGAAGGGGAGCGACGGCCTCGTCCCAGGGAGCAGTGGATTCGTCAACTCAAGACGTCGGAGGTCTGGGGAGGAGGAGGAGGAGATCGATCAGGAGGGGACAACACACACACACACACCGACACAATCAACACCCACGAGAACATGGGAAAATATGGGAAGTGGGGGACAGACGACAGACGAGAACCCACATATAGTTATATGTATATATATATATATATATATACAGACGCCTGTGAGATCGATAGGGGGCGAACAAGTTTCTAGGGTTGCGCCAGCGCAGGCTCTCCCGAGGCAGGCATAGGTCTGGCTTCCACGGGCCCTGCACCGCGTGGTGCGGGGCGGTTTCTTCGCACCCGCTGGTGCCGCGGCTGGGTCGCTATCGCGACCGAGATCGGAGGGCTCGCAGTGTTCGGCGGCGAGCGAGGGGGGAAGCGAGAAGGGGCGGGCCTTCTCAGAAGTCTTAAGTCGGGCATGTCCCTCTACAGGAGGCATCTACCAAACTATGTTTGAAATAATCAGGTGGCGTTTTTTTTATTGTTTTCGGTTATTTCTGGTTGATTCAAACTGTGTTTAACTTTCCTTCCAAGATCCGCTTGCAGGAGGACATACCCGATCTAACATAATCCTCGGAAGCCCCCTGGCCTTTGAGAAGTTTTCTGAACCTTCCTCGAAGACAACACATGCATTCCAGAAGGCCCGTCTCCGCCTCTTCGCGAGTAGGGGATCGACTACAGAATTGTCTTACCCTAAGAGTCCACTCCCACGTCGAATATATAGACGATTGCGTCGAGCTTTTCGTAGATCTACCAAAGTTCCGCGCATGCTCCATGGATTCGACCACACACACATATATATGTATATATATATATACATTTATCATATGTATCATATATCATTCATATATATATATATATGGGTAAATCAATTCTGTAGTCGATCCTTCATTCGAGCCCTGTGACCTAGGCCATAACGCGCGTTGTGCCCCCCCTCCCTCCCCCCATAACGTAACGCTCCCCCCCTCGGTGCGTCCCCGGCACTGCCGCAGTGCGTCGGGCACCACGGTCTGGTGGGGGGTGCCCGCTGCGTTATACCCCCCTCCCGTCCCCCCCCCCACTCTGGGAGAGGGGAGGGCGACGGGAGGGGGGCATAACGTAGCGACCTTGACGGCCGTGATGGGGAAAGGCTCTTCCTCACAACGCGGCCATATCGGCGGCGATCGAGGAGCGCATTTGTTTTATTTGCGGCCTTAGTGGGCGTCATCGGGGAGAGGCTCTCCCCCATAGCGCCCGTTGTGGCCGCGAATAACAAAAATGCGCGCCTCGCTCGTCGCCGGTCGGTCCTCGTCGTCTCCGGCCCTGGTCGCCCGCGCTCGTCGAGCAGAGGATGGACTACAGAATTGGGTCTGCCTGGAAAAATGCTTGTCCATGGAATCTATGAGACATGCGTAGAAGGTTCCTTCGATCTATTTAGCATACTATGGGCATTTCGTCGTATACTCGACGGGAAAAAACCACTGTGGGGTAAGCCAATTCTGTAGTACACTCCTTCATCGAGCCCTGGGCGCCCCAGCTTGAGTTTCGGGGAAGCGTAGGACTCGAGCAAACCGGAACTCGGGTCTGCCGATGTCTTCTGACGAGCGCGCCCTGGATCTTGACGGCCCGGTGTTCTTGGGATGCTTGCAGCGGGAGCTCGCGTCCGGGCTCAGATTGGGTCCCGTCATGTTCATGATGACCCCGTCAGGCCAACCCGAGTCACCTGATCCCGAGCCTCACGTCTCCCTGGAAGAGAAGAGGCAGGCGGATAGGAATGAGGATGGGTAGTCATGAGGAGTAGGAGGAAGATTAGCATGAGCAGAAGGTTGGGCAAGAGGAAGGCCCCGAGGTGGCAGAGGCTCTGGAATGACGGGAGGGACCAGGACCAGGAAGGACGAGGCGAAACGTACTGAATCCGGGATGCATCAACGACCTTGCAACGAGACCTACAGCCCCGCACCCGAGTCTTAAACTTTAAGTCGGGCTTGTCCCTCTACAGGGGGGAAGATTCAAAAATAGTCAAAACATTGGCTGTGTTTTTTATTACTATTTTTTATATTTGTTGGAACATTTCTGGGGTATTTTTAATTTTTCGCCCCAAATCCCCCTGTAGGGGGACACGCCCGACTTAGTCTTAACATCTCCCCGAGAGGTCACCACCTCCGAGGAGCTCCTGCTGGCCCTCGGCGCCGCGGCGGCCTCTGGCGGCCGGGCGCCGCTCCTGGAGGCCGAGCGCGCGGACGAGGACGGCGCCTCCTCGGCGACCTTTCCGCGGCGCCTCGGGGGGGCCCCCGAGTGGTGTCGTGGCCACACCGCCTGGTGAGTCTGGGCCTCCTCCTTGTCCTCCTCCTCCTCCTCCTCCTCATCCTTGTCCTCCTCCTCCTTGTCCTCCTCCTGCCCCCTCCTCCTTCTTCCTTCTCCTCCTCTTTCTCCTCCTCCTCCTCCTCCTCCTCCTCCTCCTCCTCCTCCTCCTCCTCCTCCCTCTCCTCATCCTCCGCCTCCTCCGCTCCTCCGCGGCGGCCTTCAAGCAACGCGCCCCGGTGGGCCCTGGAGCGGTGTCGTGGCTACACCGCGTGGTGAGCCTATAGGCCTCCTAGACGTCGTCGTCGTCGCGGGTCGGGTCGTCGGTCGTCCCCTCAGGTCGTGTCTTCCTCCCTCTCCCAGGTCGTCGGTCGTCCCCCTTGTCGCTGGCCAGGACGGTCCCGAAGAGGCCGACGCGGCCTCGGAACGTTTCGATTCCCCTCCTTGTGCGGGCAAGCAGATCTCGAGGCCTCCCAGATTCAAAGAAGAAACAAGGCCATGAACAGAAACTGTTGGCGCTCCGCGCGGATTCATGCATCTGCGCCTGGCCCCCCCTGGCGGAGCCTCCGGCGCCGCCCCCCGGCGCGCTCCGCGCGCCAGGGAGGGGGGTCCAGAACAGATCCAAGAAATCCGCGCGGAGCTCCAAAAGTCTATGCTGAAGCCGTTTTCTTCTTCTAGTGGTGAGTCTAGGACTCCTAGATGGGGTCGGAGCGGATGGGGTCGGAGGATCGCGCCGCATCGCCAATGCATCGGGGATGCGGCTCGATGTGGGGCCTGATTTTTTCTCCACGCCGATGGCGCCGATGTCTCGCCGGCGTCGCCGATGCGGCGCGATCCTCTGGCCCCACCTATTCGGACCCCATTCAGGAGGCCTCTGGCGGTGTCGTGGCCGCACCGTGTGGTGAGTCCGCGGGGATTCGGGAGTTCGGGCGGGTGTTATTGGATGGAGATGCACATGGGGGGTGAAGAAGAACAGGTGCCCCAAGCGGGCCCCTTTCTGGAGCTGGCAGGGGCCCACACGGGGCCTTCAGCGGGCCCCTTTGAGGGCCTTATCCTTCACCCCGTATTTGTCAGGAGGCAAGAAACACACAGACACACTTAATCTTCTATTCCCCAGAAAATACGGGAAACTACGGGAAGTGGGGGGGAAGACAGAAACGCAGAAAACATGGGACAATATGGGGAATCTTTTTATTTGTGGGTATTTAGTTGTGTGTCCTGGGGCCCCTTCGATTTGGATCTCCCCGCTTCACCACCCGCCCGAGGGGCCCCCGAGCGGTGTCGTGGCCCCGCCGCTTGGCGAGCCCGCGGGCATTATTACTGCGGTGTCCTCCCCGCCCGCCCGCCGCGCCGGTCGGCCTCCGCTCGCTTCACCTCGCCGCGGGGGGCGCGCCGCCCAGCGGCCCGGCAGGGCCTCCGGGCAGGGCTGCGGCCCGCCGCGGGCCCCCCCCCTTCGGGCAGCGCTGGGGCCCGCCGCGGGCCCCACCCCCCCCAGCGCCTGTTTGCGGGCTCGCCTGCCTGGCCGGCCGGCCGGCCGGCCTCCCCATGGGCGGCGTTGCTCTCGGGCGCGGTGTGCCTCCGGGCGGTGTCGTCGTCGTCGTCGTCGTCGTCGTCGTCGTCGTCGTCGTCGTCGTCGTCGTCGTCGTCGTCGTCGTCGTTTCTCTCGCCGTCCTGCGTCGCTCCTCTGCCCTGCGCCTCTCTTGCTTGTTCCTCGGGCTGTCGCCCAGGCTTCGTCCTCCCTCTCCTGGGTCGTCGGTCGTCCCCCCGTCTTTGGCCAGCACTGTCCCGAAGTGGCCGACGCGGCCTCGGAATGCTTCGATTCCCCTGCCGCTCGCTGGCAAGCAGATCTCGAGGTCTCCCAGGTGGGGTTGGAGCAGATGGGGTCGGAGGATCGCGCCGCATCGCCGATGCATCGGCGATGCGGCTCGAGCATCGGCGATGCGGCCCGATGCAGAGCCCCATTCTCTCCACGCCGGCATCGCCGATGCATCGCCGACGCCGCCGACACATCGCCGATGCATCGGCTGTACATCGGCGACGCGGCCTCACTCTCGGACCCCTCCCTGGAGGCCTCCGGCCACGGGCGCTCTCCTGGGCCGGCCCGAGAGCGGGCGCGGACCTCTCTCGCCCCACCCATGCGCCCCATCGGTGCTGCTCTCGGACCGCGGGGGTGGCGTCTCACGGAGTCCACACGCGTGCCGCTGGATGCGAGGCGTCCCGCTGGGCCCGAGGTGGCCAGTCTGGATCACCTCCGGTCGGAGGCGGCCAAGAGGTGGGTGATGGCTATGGGGCGAGGGGATATCATGGCGGGGGCTATGAGATCCCTCCTGATCCCACAGCCCTCCCTTTCGTTGCGAAGGCCTCCCGGCCGGCTCCGCAGACTTGTACAGGGAGACGACGACGGCGACGGCAGTGACGACGACGACGACGCTGACGCCCTGGAGCCGAAAGCTTCTCCCTGATTTGGAGGTCTGCTCCCCCGGGGGGGGGGGGGGGGGGGCGTCACAAAGCCCAGGAACCGAGCCCCACCGCCGCCCCCGGGGCCCCGCCCCCCCGCGGCGGGGGGGAGGGATCAGAGGGAAGGAGGGAAGGGCTCCCATCCGACTCGATGACGACGTTGCTCGATCTCCCTCTGGCTGGAAAGGCCCGAGGGCGAGCGGCGACGACGACGACGACGACGACGACGACGGCGGGCTGCTCTCAGCCCGGCGCGACTTCCCGCTGCCAGACCTTGCCGCGGGGTCGCCAGTGCACAGCGCCAGCGAGGCGGCCGCGGCACGGCCGGCGGCGTCTCCCCGCGGTCCTGCTCGGAGTCGGTGTAGCAGCAGGGACGCAGGGCGCCGCGGAGTGAGCGAGCGAGTGACTGAGTGACGACGACGACGACGAGTCAGACGGAGATTCGCACGCACGCCGGCAGGGCCTGTGGACTCCCACATGTCCGCCGGCGCCCCCTCGGGCCGCGCACGTGCCTCGTGCCACGATTTGCCGAGCGCCCTCTTGGGCGCCCCGCCCCCCACCCCCTGCCCCCCTCCTTGGACGCCCCCGATCCGGGTGCTTGCCTGCCCGCAGCCCAAGGAGGCACGCAGTCCAGCTCACTACCGCCACCCGTCGAAGAGGAAGCCCAGAACGACACCACCACCGCCAGGGAACGGTACCAGAGCGAAGAGACGACCTTGGAATTGCGCGCCCACATTGCCCGCGGACACCTCAGGAGCTGCCAAGAGTGAGGATGATCATTGTCCGTGTAGCAGCCATTGAACAGTAGATCCCCTGGTGCATAATCGTGCCTTTCATTACCGTCGCCTTCCCGCTGTTCCATCCCATCGTCCCATTCACTATCAGGAGCTGTTTCCCATGGGCAGCGGACCCTCATCTTGGTGTCTGACAACTCGAGCGTGGTGGCCAGTCGCTGCTGGCTGAGTCCCTGGTTCTGTGTTTCCCCCCCCTTCGTTCGAGACATCCTCGCAACCGGGTTCGGGCACCACGATGGGTAGGGCGGAGGAGTCGCCCATGGGATGCCGAGGCGAGGGGGTGGGGATACCAGGCACAGACCGCAATGACCTTGAAAAGCAGAGCCGACGGTGCTGGTCCGCCCGAGAACGAACTCGTCCATGCCACCAGGGAGAGGCACAAGGCGTGGCTGCAGCTCAGGCCCGTCGGCAAGAGCAAGGCCGGCTAAAACAAAAAACGGTAGGTACACCAGAATTGTGTTTTCAAACGGAAAAGCGAAAACATATTATGTTGTAATACGACGCTTCTTAGGGGTGGTTGGCTGCATGGTACGTAAAGGACCGTCCGTCTTGCCTTCCTTTTTGATTTTGCGTCGCACAAGGAATTCGCCCTGGTGGTTTTGGTGCCGGGTGGTGGCGGTGCCATGCCCTTTCGGGCGCTCCTTGCGTGGAACGTTGCGCACTCGCACCCCCGAATATCAGCGAGTCTGAACACACACACAAACACACACACACACACTCACACACACACACACTCACACCCCTTGTTGGTAGTGCTGATCGGCGGCGAGGGAGGGGGGGGAAGTGAGGTGGAGAAGGCCCCCTCAGGAGGCGGCGAAGCTTCTGAGAGGCTTTCTCTGTCTCTGGGGAAGCCTTAGAAGACTTTTCAGAAGGCGGGGGGATTTACGAGCCTTCCGGGAAGGGTCCGAACGGCCCGCCGCGTCGCAGTACCCCCCCGTTCCCCCCCCTCGCTCGCCGCCAGGAGGAACTTCCCTCTGCCAGTCTCCCCGGCGGGTGCCCCCCACGCGAGGACTGGGAGTTTGTGGACGCCGGCGCGGCGTCATTGACCAGCCCGAGCCGGTGAGCACGGGAGCACGGGTCGGCCACACGTAGGAGTGACCCTTCGCTGGAGTGACCGTCGGTGCGGGCCCACGGGGGTCCCCCGATCGCCGAACGGGGTGCGGTGGTAGCGTCTTGTGCGCTCGTGTTTGGTCCCCCCGTCGCCCCCCCAAAAACCCGCGCACCAGAGGTCACTCTTGCCTAGGGCCACTCCTTGCGTGTAGCCGACTGGGAAGCAGGAGGAGGCGGCAGGAGGGGCAAGAGTCGGGGGAAGCGTGAGGCTCGAGGGTGCTGGAACTCGGGTTTGCCCGCGCGTTTCGACAAGCCCGCCCTGGATTTTGACGGTCCAGCTTTTGCGGGATGTTTGCAGCGGGAGTTCGCGTCAAATTTCAGATTGGGTCATGTGATTTCCATGTTGGCCCCGTCAGGCCAACCCGGGTCCCCTGAACCCGAGCTTCACGTCCCCCCGAAAGAGAAGAGGCAGGCAGATGGGGATGAGGAGAGGCAGTCATGAGGAGTAGGAGGACGATGAGGAGGAGCAGAAGGGGGGACAAGAAGGGGGTCCAGAGGTAGCGTGGGCACTGGACTGATAGGAGGGACAAGGACCAGGAAGGACGAGGCGAAGCATAGTCAGTGAATCCAGGATGCATCAGCGATGCTGCAGCGAAACCTACAGCCCCCTCTAAAAACAGCTCGGGGGTGGACAGAACCCCCAACAGTGACACGTCGATTAGTGAATTGTCCGTTTTCGGTTTTCGAGAGGGCGCCGTGGCCGTTATTTTCCAGGCTTGCGCCCGCCAGGTTTGGACCTCAGGTCGTTTTCACTAAATCACGTTTTGCTAAAGGGGGGTCTGTCCATCCCCGAACAGCTCCGTACGAACATTCCTTCTGATTGCTGGAATGCTCCCACTTCAAAAACAAAACGAGCGACCCATGGGCTTGAGAATGGGATGCCCTGCATTTTTTGCAGCTGTGACGAATGCGACATGGTCTGGTCAGACAGCTCGCAGAAGGGCCAGCGAGATACCCGTTTTGAAAAGTAACCAGTTTCAGTCCTTTGTAGTTGTTATTTGTACAAAGTGATTTCATACATTGATCTTTTTATATAAAATATCAGGCGATTGTCCGATCTGGAAACGGAGCCAGCGTTCATCCGTTTAACCGTTGCTGGTCATTCGTATTCGGGATGTCTTTAGCGAGAGCTCCATTCTGAAACGGAACATGCTTCCGTCCGTGTCATTGTCGACAGTTTTTCAGACGGATATTCGCGGCATTCGGCGATAGCCATATTTTGCCAGGCCCCGCCATCCATCCGTGCAATTGTTCGAAGGTTTTGAGCCAATGCCCCACGCTGCGGCGAGAGCCGCATGTTTGCACCTCGCGTAGTTTGTACCACGTTGATTGTAGCGCGAGTAGCTTGCACCACATAGATAGCACCATATAGCCTGCACACCTAGGTTGTAATCGCTCACGTTTCGGGTCGACGCTGGAGAACCTTCAAACGTGCTGTGAAGAGGAGGATGGTGGCTTTATGGAAGGATGTCTCATGCGCCTCAAGGCGGTCTCGAGCATTTATTCTATTACGATCGTCTCCAATTAGGGGCTCCAGGGCCCAGAATGGTGGTGGCGTCGGAGGAGGACCTCGAGAATCGCAACCTCCTGTGGTCCGTCTACAAGCGCAGGGAGGCCTCGGAGGTCCCTGGAGTTCCCTGGAGGCCGTCTGGGGGGCCCTGGAGGCTTCTGGAGGAGGCCCAGACAAGAATCAACGACACCATCAACAGTTCAAACCTCGAACTTCGTTTCCTCTCTGATGTTGCCAGGGTAATGCTAAAAGCGACGCAAACCTAATCAAGCGAAATTGGTGTTACCTCAGAAAGCACCCGCCCCAAGCTCTGGCGAGCAGGTCCGGCAGTTTGAGCTTTGCTCCCTGGGTGTTCCAGCCCTGACTCACGCGCGAGCCGCCGTGCTCGAGCGTCTCTTCCTCTGAGCCTCCTCCTCCAACCCGTCCACAAGGACGCCCTGGAGGGCGCGAAGTTATCCGCGCTTCGCGGTTCGGCCGCGATGCCTTCTCATCCTCCTCTTCTCAATTGAGGGGTCGGCGCGAGAGCGCGAAGTTATTCGAGAGCGCGAAGTTTTTCGCGCTTCGCGCAGCGCGAAGCGCGGAGTTTGGCACCCGTGCGTCCAGCCCGTCCCTGGCTGCGCGTTTCTCTCCGCCCCGAGGCCACAGGAGTTCGCCACTTCGCTGACCCTGACCGTGAACGGCCAGGAGCACTCGGTGCAGAATCCGGAGCCGTCGAAGATGCTGGTGGACTTCCTGCGGACAGACGAGGGGGAGCAGCAGGGAGAGCGAGGGAGGTCACCCCAGACCCCCTCGATGCATGAACAAAAACACGACGAGCTGTTTTATTTGTTTTCGGCTTTCGGGGGCCCTCACCGGGCAACGGGGCCGTCAACACAGGACTCATCACGAGAAATTGATCCTGGGGAGTGGGTCGAGACCTCTGGGGGCCGATGTTATGACAAAATCACGATGTCGGGGGTCTGGGATGAGGGAGGTCGGACGGGGCTAGGACGAAGATCAATCTAGTCAAGAGCGTTGCTGAGCGCTCTAAGAGCGCCCCGGGAAACGATCAGGAACGCTCTGAGAAGGCCGCAGCGCCCGATACATCTTCCAGAGCCGCTGGATCTCAGAGATTCACGATTTGTCCTCATCTGATTTTATCCCCGTCCAGGCTTCGCCTTAGGGGGATCGGAGGAGCCTGATGGAGGAGGACCGGGAGGGATGGCAGGAGGGACGAAGGGGGGATGTGGCAGCACGGGAAGTTACCCGGTGGCCCCAGACATGGGCAGGCCTCAGAACCCACCCGTTTTCACGTGTGATGGGAGATTCTTCCTGCCACGAGGTCGGTTCAGACGGCCTTTCGTGCCTTGCGAAGGTCGGGGGCGGCAAAGAGTGATGACTAGGAGGGGGTGGATATCATGGCGGGGGCCATGATATTTTCCCAGATGTCATGGCGCCTCTTCTTATTTCATGACGTCCCTGGCCCCCTCGCCGGGCCGCGCACATGCCGCCGGTCATGATTTGTACCCCCCCTCTTGGACACCCCCCTCTTGGCCGCACCCGAGAAGGCGGGGTGTGAGCAGGGCGGATGGGAACATTTGGGTGCAGTTTGTGGGAGATTGAGACCAGCATCGGCGCTGGCGGGTCCGTGGTCGAACATCGGCTCCATGTGCCAGAGTGCTGTCTCAGTCCGCCTAGTCCGGTGAGATGTTGCTTCCATCTGCCGAGATCCTTTGGTCGGGCTGAATCGTCTCGAGTCGCTCTTTGCGAGGAGCTCCCAGAAGTTGCCCCCCTACGGGAAGAGGTGAACCAGGAAGGGGCGGGCGCAGTCCTTTCACGGCATCCTGCGGACGGGCGGCGGGGAGGAAAGAAGAGGGAAGGAAGGACGGACGGGGGCGCCCTGCACAGCACCTTGAGGCCGGCCGACCGGGCCATCGAGGATATTGTTCTTGGCGTCCTGTGGGCAGACGGGGAGGAGGTGCCCATGCCGCGGCCTTTTTCCCCGTCTTCCACGCGTTGGGCCGTCCCTGGAGGTGCACTGCTCGACCAGAATCATCCGCGCGGGCCTCTGGCAGCGTCTGTGCTTGCGTAGGCTTCTGTCTGCGGGGGGGGGGGGAGCGCGGGGGACACCTCTCGCCGAGCGCGTTCCACTACTCGCAAAGTGCCTACTCGCAAACGTCCGAAAAACACATGTCTGCTTTGATGTAATTTATCGTAGAGCCCCCGCGGGAGATCCAGGCCATTTGCGAGTAGTTACTTTGCGAGCAGTGGAACGCGCTCGTCGAACCTCAAGACCTCGCCGGCGGTGGGCGCCGGCGGTGCCGCTGCCTTCCCCGCGGTTGTACGCAGGAGTGACCGTGGACGGGGGTGGCCTCTCTTCCGTGCGCGCAGCTCTCGGGGGTCCGCGGCGTCGCACCAGTCGCATCGAAAGAGGGCAAGACGCCAGGAGCACCAAGGCGGGCCGCTCTGCAGGAGGAGCATTCAAAAGTACAGTCGGGTTCCTGACGAAGGAACCCTTTCCATTGGGGAGGGGCTCCGCGTTCCTTACGTGTTTCGCAGCTTGCCTCAGGTTTTCCTTATGTTTTCGATCGGACATCGAAGTTTAACTTATGGAAAAAAGGGGCCTCGTTCCTTATTTTGGGTTCCTTAGGTCAAGGCCCCGACTGTAGTTATGTCAAATGGTCTGGGGACGCTGTTGTGGCTATTTTTCCCAACCATCCCGTGGTGTTGGGTCCTCATTTGGAAGAGACGGTCCCCGCGTTCCCTCCCTCCCTCTTTGTCTGCTTCCTTTCTCCTCCCTCCTCCTCCTCCTCCCCCCCCTCCGTGCGTTTCACCTAGTAAGTACAACGCTCCGTGGCCTCATAGGGATCCCTCCGAAGCCCCAAGTGGGACCGCCCGCATGCGTCAGCCACCACCCATTACAGCGCTCCGTGAGCCCATGGGGAGCTCCACCGAAGGCCCCGGTGACACCGCCCGCATGCGTCAGCCACCACCCAGCACAGCGCTTCGTGGCCCCATAGACGGCTCCACCGACGGCCCCAGTGGCACCGCCCGCATGCGTCAGCCACCACCCAGTACAGCGTTTCGTGGCCCCACAGGGAGCTCCACCGAAAATCCCAGTGGCACCGCTCGCATGCGTCAGCCACCACCCAGTACAGCGTTTCGTGGCCTCCCCGAAGGCCCCATTGGCACCGCCCGCATGCGTCAGCCACCACCCAGTACAGCGCTTCGTGGGCCAATGGGGAGCTGTACCGAATGTCCCAGTGGGACCGCCCGAATGCGTCAGCCACCACCCAGTACAGCGCTTCGTGGCCCCATAGAGATCCACCGATGATCCCAGTGGGACCGCCCGAATGCGTCAGCCACCACCCAGCACAGCGTTTCGTGGTCCCGTAGGGAGCTCCACAGAAAGTCCCTAGTGGCACCCCCCGCATGCGTCGTCCACCACCCAGTATTGCACTTCGCGGCCCCATTCATTGGAAGCTCCACCAAGCCCCAGTGGCACCGCCCGCATGCGTCAGCCACCACCCAGTACAACGTTTCGTGGCCTCGTATAGAGCTCCAGTGGTCCACCCGCATGCGACCTCATACCCAGTACAGCGCTTCGTGGGCCCATAGGGAGCTCCACAGGCTTGCGCCCGCCAGGTTTTAGCCCGAGGTCGCTTCAACTAAACAACGTTTTGCTAAAGGGGGTTTTGTCCATCTCCGAAAAGAGCTCCACCGAACCCCCCACTGGCACCGCCCGCATGCGTCGGCCACCACCCAGTACAGCGCTTCGTGGCCCCGTAGGGAGCTCCATTGAAAGACCCCAGTGGCACCGCCGGCATGCGTCTCCCCCAACCAGAACAGCGCTTCGTGAGCCCATGGGGAGCTCCAGCGGAGGGCACCGCCCGCATGCGTCCGCCAAGACACCCAGTACAGCGTTTCGTGGCCCATAGGGAGCCCCACCGAAGGCCCCAGTGGCACCGCCCGCAGGCGTCTCCCACACCCATTACGGCACGTCCTTCACGCGCTTCGTGGCCCTCCACCGAAAACGGGACCCACAACGTGTCATTTACAATTGCGTACGGTCGGGTCGTTCGCCGGGGTACTTGTTTTTTCTGTAGATGTTGGACTATGTTGTATTTTGTTGTGCCCGACCTAAGCAGAAACGTTAGGCGTTCCGCGCGATTTTCTTGGATCCGCGCTAGGCCCCCCCAGCGGCGCTTCAGGCGCCGCCCGTGGCGCGCTCCGCGCGCGAGGGAGAGGAGCCCAGCGCAGATCCAAGAATGTCGGGGTGGAGCGTAAGCAGTTTCTGTTTACGCCGCTCTGCCTTCTCCTGTCACGGCCCGAGCCTCAGACCCTATTCTCTTGCGGCAGTCTCCGAGCGGGAGCGGTCTGCCAGCCCCCCCAGAGCCCCCAAAACACGGAACAGACGCGCCTGGCGCGAAGAGAGCTTGCGGCGCCCAGACCTCGGGGGGCCACGGGCTTCCGACACGCCTCCCCCGCTCCGGCAAGGGGCGACTGCCTGCTACGTCGCGTGGAAGAAGACAGCCCGGGGAGGCTTGTAGGGGTCTTTAGGGGAACAGAAAGTGACATAAACATAACAACTCGGAGGGCCGCGCGGAGTTCTCGGATCGGCGCTGGGGCCCCCCGGCGGCGCCTCTCGGATCGGCGCTGGGGCCCCCTCCCTGGCGCGCGGAGCCAGGGAGGGGGCCCCAGCGCCGATCCGAGAACTCCGCGCGGCCCTCCGAGTTGTTCTGTTTATGTCACTTTCTGTTCCCCTAAAGACCCTTACAAGCCTCCCCGGGCTGTCTTCTTCCACGCGACGTAGCAGGCAGTCGCCCCTTGCCGGAGCGGGGGAGGCGTGTCGGAAGCCCGTGGCCCCCCGAGGTCTGGGCGCCGCAAGCTCTCTTCGCGCCAGGCGCGTCTGTTCCGTGTTTTGGGGGCTCTGGGGGGGCTGGCAGACCGCTCCCGCTCGGAGACTGCCGCCGGTTTGTCCAGATCTCCGCCGGGTTGTCCAAGGGGCTGTCCCGGGTGGGTCGTCCTGCCGCCATGGCATCAACAGGAAGTGGCTCTCCGGGGGTTGTCGGGGGATGTGTTGTGATTGCATGTTGTTGCGATTGAACATCGTATTTGCCTTGTTTCCATCCTCTGACTTCTACAGGCTGGCTGCCTATTTTCATTGTTTTCCGAAGTGTCGTTTCTGGCGATTCACGCCGTCCGCCGCCCTCTCGTTCCTGTGCGCTGGGCCGCCTGGGGCCCAGGGCTGAGCTTCCCTCCGCTGGGGAGGGTGGCTGGTCAGAAGCGGAGTGCCCCCCAGGGGCTCCCCATGTGTGGGATTTTTTATTCGTCAAGGCGGCGCGCAGGATCCTGCAGAGCCGGAGCTGGGCCGAGCCGGGGGGGCTCGGGAGCCGCTCGCGGCCGCAGAGGTGGCCCTGCACAATCCGCCGCGCCGGGCTTGGGAAGGCCAAGACTTGCAGCGCCACGTTCCTGGATTGGCCGAGCTGGGTTTGCGGCCGCCGCCGCCGGCGGCGACGACAACGACAACGACTACGCGTGCCGCCGCCGTCGCTGCTGCCGCTCCCGCCGCCACTGGTGAGCCTGGTCACTCCGCGCTCAGGAGGGGAACACACACACCCACACACACACACCCACACACACACACACCCACACCCACACAAACCCACACACGCCCACTCACCCACACACACACACACACACACCCACACCCACACACCCACACCCACACCCCCACACCCCCACACCCCACACGTCCATTCACCCACACACCCACACACCCACACCCCCACACCCCCACACCCCCACACCCCCATACCCCCACACCCCCGCACGCCCACACGCCCGCACGCCCACACGCCCGCACGCCCACACGCCCACACGCACACACGCCTTAACGCCCACACGCCCACACGCCCACACGCTTACACCCCACACACCCCCACACGCCCGCACGCCCCACACGCCCACACGCACACACCCACACGCCCACACGCCCACACGCCCACACGCCCATACGCCCACATGCCCACACACCCATACGCCCACACGCGCACACGCCCACACGCCCACGCCCATACGCCCACACGCCCAGTCGCCCGCACGCACGCCCACACCCCAACACGCCCACAGGCCCACACGCCCCACACCACACACGCCCACACGCACACACGCCCACACGCCCACACGCCCACACGCACACACGCCCACACGCACACACGCCCACACGCCCACACGTCCACACGCCCACACGCCCGCACGCCCACACGTCCACACGCCCACACGCCGACACGCCCACACGACCACTCGCCCACACGACCACTCGCCCACACGCCCACATGCCCACATGCCCACTTGCCCACACGCCCACTCGCGCACACACGCACACGCGCACACGCGCACACGCGCACACGCGCACATGCGCACACGTGCACACGCGCACTCGCGCACACGCGCACACGCGCACACGCGCACATGCGCACACGCGCACACGCACTCGCGCACACACGCACACACGCACACACACACATGCATATACGCACACGCACACGCACACTTCATCGTCGACTCCTTGGACAGTACGGGGGAATGTAGAAATTGGAAGGAAGACGAACATCATTAGACTTGTGTGCATGTGTTTGTGTGTATCTATTTGTGCGTGTGTGTGTGTGTGTGTATTTGGATGTGTGTGTGTATTTACTTGTGTGCATGTATTTGTGTGTATTTGTTCTATAGGCTTACGCCACATCTGCCGACCCTTCCATAAACTACTGCGCGTCCAGGACTGCATCCCACGAGGCTTGTCCGATTCCTGGGAGGTTCTTGGGGGTGTTTGGAGTCTCTACTTGGGCTCCCTGGGGGCTTCTTGGGGCGTGTTGGTGGCTTCTTGAGGCAACCTGAGGGCGTCCTGGGGCCGAAGGCTGGAAATGTGGGTTCGGGTTCCCCCCGTGGGCCCTCTTTTGGCGCCGTCCGGGGGCCCTCTGGGGCCGTCCTCTGTGCTTTTTTGGCGGTCTTGGGACCCTGCGGGCCGTCTTAGAGCTGGCCTAGGGGTCGTTTGGGCCGTCTTGCACGGTATGAAAGCGCAAGAGGCGAGTTTGTTTAACACATACGTTTTCCGACGGGAATTGGGCAGTTTTCACTTATTCGGTGCCTTTTGGGAGGCCTCTTGGGGCGTTTTGGAGGCATCTTGGGCCGTCTTGATGCCATCTTGGGCGTCTTGGAACGATGATTCGACGATTCGGGGCCCTCTTGGATCGTCTTGGGGCCCACTTGGGGCCCTCTTGGCCCGTTTTGGGGTCCTCTATGCTCCCATGACGCGTTCGTCCGGGGCCAGGCGGGTTCGTGCGGGGCCGGGGGGGGGGGGGTTCAAATCTCGGGTTTGGGGTCCTTGGGGGGGGGGCTATGGGGGGAACAATCTCACACGCCTAGAGACCCACAAGGGGTCGTCGGAATTGTGTGTCCCTCGGCCCCTCGAGTCAGACCGACCGACCCCGCGGCGGGCCCGCGAGAGGAACGACCTGGGCCTGACCGGCACCAAGGTGGCCTGCGGGGAGGGCGGCTGCGGCTCGTGCGTGGTGTCTGCCACGGGGCGCGGGGGGAGGGTCAAAGCCGGGGGCCGGCCCTCCGATTCTCGATCTTCCGAGGAGGAAAACTCAGACCCCCTCGCGTTGTGAACCGAATCACGACGGGAGGTTTCTCGCTATGTTCGGTCTCCAGGGGCGTTTACCGGCCCCCAGGACCGTCAAAGAAAGGCTCAGGATGACAAACCGGTCCTGGGGACTGGGTCGAGACCTCTGGGGGTCGACGTCACGGAAAAAATTATGGCGTCGGGGTCTGGGAAGTTAACCATACCCCCTACTTTTTCCTCGTATTCGCCTTGCCTCGAACAGCAGGTCAGAACCCACCCCAGGAGATGTCCGGGAGGCAGCGGTATCTGTACCGTTGGTATCTTCAGAGCATCAGTCCTCGGTCGATCCTTTGATCCTCGATCGATCCTCGATCCTCGATCCCCGATCGTGCCTCGATCCTCGACCCTCGTCCGATGAGGGGTGAGGCCCCTCGCCCTTCTGCCCCTGCCGCCCACCCCCTCCGCGAGTCCTGGTGAGTCGGCAGCGCCCCCGAGCAGCGAGGGGGGGGCCCGAGGACGGACGGGAGCGACGCCAGAGAGCGGGGCCGATGTTCTGCGGACATTCGCGCGCAAGTCTCCCGCGCCAGGCTGCGTGGAAGCGCCCTCTCCTCCACGCGGGGTGTGCCGTGCTGGCGGCCCGCGCGCGGCGCTGCAGAAGGTGTCTATGTCATCGCGCGTCAGGCCCCCTTCCCTGGCCGCTTGCAGTCAGCCCAGCCAGCTTCCCATCAGCCCGCGGCCCCTCCGGCGGTAGGTTCTGAGCGCGGGCTCGGCCGCTGTGCTTTTAGGCTTGCGCGTTGCCAATTTGACAGGCCCGTGGCCCGGACCTCTCAGCTCGGCGACTGCGAATCCGCGTCCGCCCTCGACCAAAAAACAAATCAGGCCCCTTTCTGTTCGTCGCTCGCGCAAGAGATCTGGTTTGCTAGAGGTGCCCCCTCGCCCAAGGTCCCCGGTCTTTTTCGTTCCACCTGTTCGTTCCATTTGGAGCCCCTGGGACCCTCTCTGGGCCTCGTGAGGGGCTCTCTGGCAGTCGTGCGCATCAGAGAGCCACACCCACAAATAAGTGTATTTGAATGGAGGGTCCCTCGGGGTAGGGCCCACCGACCTCGACATCGGCACTCAGTGTGTGGTTATTTCGGCGGCGAGCGAGGGGGGGAGTGAAACGGAAAAGGCGTTTTCAGAAGACGACGGGACTTCTCAGAAGCCTTCGCGCCTTCTGACAAGTTTCCCATGCCTTAGGGGGAGGCTTAGGAAACCTCTCAGAAGGGCGGGGGCCTTCCGGCTCTTCTGAAAAAAAAGGCCTTTTCTTTCTCACCTCCCCTCTTGGGCTCGCCTCCTATTCTTGTCGATTTGGCCGTCCAGAACGCCAACATCGACCACAGCCGCTACCAAGCTGGTTCTGGTGTATGACGCCTGCTGGCAAACCCAAGATATATCCTCCTGGTGCGTCCTCGATGTGGTTTCGGGGGCGGCAAAGAGGGGGTGATGACTAAGGGGGGAGGATATCATGGATGGGGGCCATGGTATCTCCACATGTCATGCCCCATGACCGC